TGAGAGCTCTTACAAAAGAACTCCACTGTTTTGATGGAAAATAATATAGGGAAACGGATGAGCTAACCTGGGCTATGTGTGGAAAAGATGACTAAGTCTACTTTGCCTCAGTAACGCTTTTCTACGGATGACGATGAAGGTCCATTAAAAACTTCCAAGTTCTTAATAGAAAGCTCTATTCCACTTTATGTATTCAGCGTCTTGCCACCAACGGTGGAGCATGTGCTTCTTTCATTGTCAAACCATTTCAAAGAGAGGAAAAGAGGCGATCTGGACCAGCCCCAAAAGGTCTCCTCCAAATTTTTAATTTGAAAGGGTTCGCAATAAACTCCATCCGAAAGTTACCTGCTCAAAGGCGGAACGTTGGCGATAATGATGGGCCATATATGTACATATTTGTCAATTGCTGGCTGTGCTACTTTTGCTACATTGACATGACGTTCTAATTAAAAAATGTGGAATGGCTAAAGGCTTCAACGACAAGCTAATATTCGGTTAGCTCGTGTTCAATTCCTTTTCATATGACTCGTTACCCTTTAGGCAATAAAAAATAAAGATGAATAAATAAAACGAAATAAAAATGAGTTCAGTTTAGCTCATGGCTCAGGCACTGCTTGCAATCATGCATGAGGCCTTGGCGATGGTGCTTTACTTCTATTACGAAGATCAAATTAGTTTCATCAATGTGTGTCAACACTTTTACAATAATAGGTAATTCTACGGCGAACGGATAGTGCACGTTGGCGTTTCATTGTTGGTTTTCAAATAATTGCCAACGAATTCATCTTGATTGAAAAAGATTGCCCGTTCTTCTTATTTCATGCACGGCTGCTGGCACCTTTTTTCACATGCAACCCACGTTATCAACAACACCGGCACAATTTGTAGTTGGAGAAGTATGCAGTTTTCCGCAAGACCTAGTTCTTGAGTAGTCATCGCTGTTTTTATTTCTACTCTTGTTATCAAGAGAGAATCGAATGGCGACTTAAAGGCACATTCCACGTCGAAGCCAGGGGGGTTAATATCGTTAAGTGAGTCACCTACACTAGTGAAATAGTGCTGTTGTCGCCATTCAAGAGAATGCAGCACAAAAGAGCCTTCATTTTAGTCAGTTTGCAAAAGTCTGCTTCTGATGCTCAGAATGTAACGGTCCATGCGGATTAGTGTCTGCTCTTTTCCAACATGGTCTTGTCCGTAGACTTGTTCCATGCCCAGTGTCTTGCCGTTTTGATAGCACAGTTCCCTTTGCTTGGAAAAGGTGGTCCCAGTTTAAGCGGATTCGACTGTTTCTTTCGATTTTCACTTCATGTTTTCGAAGGTGATAGGAATTTGGTTCTGAAGAGTGCGTGAATTGGATGACATTAATCAGTCAGGATTCTCCGCCCTTCGCTGGTATTTGCAACAGTAGACGTAATTTGATGCAAACTTAGATCTTAAGACAGAAAAAGAGCTCGCAATCTTATTTTTTCTCAATTTTCCTATCGGATTTTCCTTCCTAATAAACAACTATTGCCTCTTTTTCCCGCTCGTCTTAGATATTTGAAAAAGCCTTGAGTGGTGGTCCTTTGCAGCGGAAAGGCCCCCAAGCTTCGCCTATATACCCCGCCCTCCATTGTCGTCGCCTCGCTGGCGCTACGAGACGAGCACGGCCGCAACTGCGGCAGCACTGGTATTAGGGCTCAATGGCACTGGAGCAGCTCGGGCCAGCTTTTTGTGAGACTTGTCCAAACACGCTCCACCTCCATTCCAAAGAATGAGGATGCAAAAGTGGGGCTTTTTTTAAGGGGCGTGTTCGGGGGTTTCCTCTGGTCTCTTTTTCTTTATTGGAGCAATCCGCACGTTCAACTTCACTATTGAACGCTTTCACACACACGCAATTTATCCCGAGGCTTATCTAAACGATACAAGATAACTGACTGCGGGAAGCGAGGGCAAAAGGACTTGGACGTGTTTCGGGTCAAGAATTAGGGAAGTGGTGGCTTCACCTTCTGCCGCTGGCCATTTTTACAAGGAGCCGTTTCTCCAAAGGTCAGCTGATTCGTTCACTAAGGCTTTGCCACAACGATGCGGTCACCCTCTGAAATTGCAATTCTCCAAAATAGGGAGTAATGGGTTAGTTTCCTATTCCAGTGAGTTCAGCATTCGACGATTTACGTAATTACGTATTCAAAGGTCCGGAAACGTTTTGCAGGCTAAAGCGACATATTATTAAAGCAATTTGAAACACTTTGACGAAAAATGTTGGAATCGATTCGTTGCTCAGCTAGCTAATGTGACCGCAATACCCAGTACAGGGAAGCTTTCCTTGCTTAGATCTAAAACATTCATTTTCTCTCCCCTGATGTTTGAGTCCCGATCACCTGAAATACTCAGTATAAATATCAAATGAATCAAATAGATTGAGCTGCTTTGTCTCTGGCTCCGTTTTTATCACTTTGGCACGCGTAGTTAGCATAATTTGCTCATATGCTTCAATTCTTTTATTCTATACTTCCTTTGTTAGTCGGTGTCGTTAGCCGGCGGTACTCATGGATCAAAAGCAAAGCGCACCAGCGGCGAGCACGCGACGCGTACTGGGTGACGTCACAGCGATTGTACGGCGACGGAGGCAGGCAAACGCAATTGTCTTTTTTCTCGAGCGTGTAATCGCAGGCTGTGTGCCACCTCTACACCCTTTAGGCAGTATTCGGGCATAAAGTAATGGTTCTGAGGAGGAATATCACATTCTCGCCGGACGGCTGAATGCCTTTCGAAACTATGACGAAATTAGCACCTTAACATGGGTTGATAGGAGTAAGTGACTAGAAGAAGTTGTTAGGTGGCATCTTTTGTTCTACAACTTGAGTTAGACTTCACTCCATACGAAATGTAACTATTTGTATGCATTGCGCGTAGTGACACTATGTGATTGCTCCTCCCCTTACCGCCCCACCGTCCCTGTTACGTCACTCAGCACGCACCGCGCACGTGCGCCGGTGATATTTTTCCTGTAGCCGTCATCCTCTCAAGTGAGTCTGGTCCAAGCAAATCGACTTGGGAGGGATGAAGGTTGGCTCTTCTGGGAAGCATCGGACCCGAGAGGACTCTGGATCGTCCTATCTTGCTTCGGTACCGACTTTCCACGAGTACAACAACTAACCCAACAAAATTTCGACTTCTGAAAAACCTTCGAATATTCCGATCCACACTATCCTAATTACTATAATACGCTTCCATGCATAAGCCTCTAACTCCTCTAATACGGCCAACTCGCCAAGAAATCCAAGACGACGCTCTTCGAGATTTCCTGACGGTGCCTGATATGGCATATCTCTGAGTCATGTTGCTTTATTTATCCATGACATCATTCGCACTCTGCTCTTATAGTGACCGTGTTTTGAAAACTTCCTCTCACTAACTTACTCAGAGCTTTTTCGATTTAAGTTGAAGAATATGAAACAGCTGTCGCCGTCTCCTGGACGAAGGCGTGATTCGTGCCTTCAAGAGGTTCGTTCAATACGGATTGATTAACTATGTTTTATTCTTTAATTAACATCCGTTTTAGTAGGAGGTTCTGTTAATTGCTTATAAGTAGCGATGTATGGGCTGCTATGTTGCAATTGTAATAAATGTGTTGGAGTGTTTGCAAGATGCTGCTGGAAGTCTTCTACAAAAAAATCTGTGAATAACATTCCCATGATGAGGTTTCTCATAATTTTTTGCATGTTTCACTACCCCATCCTAATCCGAGCTTTTTCACCAATTGTTACGCTTTGACTTGATGCCTCAGAACCGAAGTGTCACATTTGAAAAGGGAGGACAAAGGGGATCGGGTTGGAGTAGTCGGCGAACCGACCCTTTTCCTTATAACTGAAACTATGAAAAAATTCGCTTGCTTTCTAACAAATGCTCGATTATCTTGAGTTTACTCCCAAATTTTTCTTTATATAGTAATTCATTTCTTCTCCCCTTTCACGAAACCCTTCCATCTGCAAATTCCCTTGGAACGATCCCATTCTTTTCTTGCTTGCCCACTGCAAATCCATAAGATACGCTGGCAAGACCCTCTCCATCCTAGACAGGAAGAACAAAGATGACCTGCCTTAACAAGGAACACCATTTGAACTTTCGCTCGGTGGTGTACTTCCTGCTAAATACGAAAGACCTGAGTTTACGGTCTTCATCATCTCTCCCAAAGCGCTACTTGCGCTAACAGGTGTACCACACTGATCTATTTTCGTGGTGTTGTTATCCATAATAAACCTGCCAAAATCGGCCTCAAACTGCTACCGTCGCCTTTTTTTGCATTTTCTGCAAAGCACTGTTTTTGTGCCGCCCACGTTACGCTCCTCACATATTTTTGAATACTTCAGTTAATTGAGAAGCTGGTTTTCCAAAAAATTGCTTCATGAGATTTTGCAGGAGTGTTCTATTATAAAGACACTTGTGGAGTGCATTTCAAACCCAGAAGACTCGAAAGTGCATTCATTAGAGACGATGCCATAGTTCTAAGAAGCGAAAATGAAAATATATTTGAATTCTGAGCGCTTTTTGCTCGCAAACTTTTCAAAATTGAAATCTAAACCAGGCTTTCTCGTAAGCTTCAGTCGTTATTGCGTCCATCAACGCGCATCCGCTTTTATGACACTTTTAAAGTGCACGATCCATAGGATGTGATGTAGGGATGGTATATGTTTACAACTGAGGGGTTGACCTTGAAAAAAAAGATAACAAATCCTCTGATTTGAAGCTATAAAAATCTCTTGCAATATTGTCAATTCTGGAAGTGCTTCAATCAGGGGGGAACCTCCTGTCCTAAGCAGAAGCATTAATGGATAACTAAAAATAGGATTTGGCCTTATTAACTGAGTTCATAAATGTGGAAGTTTTTTCAGTCATTGTGTAAAATTAGTTTGGTTGAATGGGTGAGTGCAATGAATGAATCAAAAGGGGGTCGCTGGCACAATGGAGCACTTCATGAAATTGCACTGATTTATTTCCAAACCGGACGTGTTTTTCAGGTTTCGGCCGACTTTCTTCGATTAAATGGGAGCCGACAACAGTTTCGAAATTTATTGTCAACTAGAAAGAAATTGGGATCTCTGCCACCAGCATATACAAGAATCGACTACAGTCGTGAATCACTGGACTCTAACCGTGAGTTCTCCTTAATACAATGGCAAAGCTTAACGCAATAAGCTCGCGCTAAGTTGATGGAGTATATTGAAATTGTGGATGCCTTGTTGACGAAAATGAAAAAGAGGCAAAGCAAACCGCCAATTAAGCCCTTCTTCCTCTTCTCTCTTCTTCCTTGAAGTAAGGGATGGGCGTGCTCGGACGAGTTGTCTGAAGTTGCTCGCTCCATGGCTCTACTAAACCGCGCCTATTTGAATTATCCGTTGCGTCGAATTCACGTTGCGTGTCATGGGGTTGTGCGAGGCTTCAATTAGCTTACCATAGCCACCTCAGCCAATTTGTCGCCCTAACGCTATAGTCGCACAATTTCGATCCGTGACAATGGCACAACTGTGATGCTCGCCGGCCTTCTATCTACGAATAGGTTCTTCAACATGACCTCAGCTAGGGTTGTTACTTTAGTGCTTTTTCATTATCAGGTGGAGAAGGGAAACCAAATATTGAGATTATACTCACACCTTCATACATCATTCCTTCAGATGTCAGTAATGTAATATTATAATTACACTTTTTGGGATTTACTTTTATCAAGTGTGTGAAGAATATTAGTCTAAGATCGTATATATAAGAGCCCGATTTGCAAAAAAAAAGTGTTCAAACACAAGATGATGATATAGCAATTCGCCTTTTTCCGGTAAATTAGCAAAAAACAATAAAAATAGTCAACGACGAAGGTTGTTTTCAATTTCTGGAGTAAGTAGCAGTAAGCGGTAGTACAGACCACTTTTATCTGACAGGCCCTCGTTTTTGAAACTGTAGAGTAACATGGCACAAATAAACACATTGATGGCAGACCGTGCGTGCTCCTGGGCATCTTTTTTTAAGATTTTTTTTCACAAAAATCACTAATTTTTCGACAATTTTCTTACTGGTAATGAGAGTAGTATTTCGTGAACTCAATGATGTAAACGGACAACTTCCTAACGAAAAAATGTCTAGTAAATCGAGCAAAAGCATGTTTATTCGCGCTAACGTCTGACGCGCATGCGCGTCATGCTGCCGTCAGTTGTTAATGGCGTTTTATGCGGAACTACGCTTGAAGTTGTTGTCATTCACGCTCTTAAACAAGCGCATCAAATAAGGCAGATAGCGGTGTTTTGTAGTTTTGGAAGTCCATTTATATGATTTCACTTCTTTCACATTCTCTTGTTCTCGTCCTTGCTGATGCTCAAGGTCACCAGAACTCGTATTTGAATGAGGATTCTTTCAGCAAACCGAACAGCTCATCATGGACCGGTCATAACCGTTGAAGACACTGGTTCGCAACTACGAATCAACCGAGTCAAATCAAGTATTACAGACAGCCTCGTTGACTCTCACAAGACCTCCCTCGAGAATAGTAAGTTCATGCTTGAGTCTTGTCAATTATGGGCGGCCAAATGTCCGCTGTCGGTGGAAGGGAAAGAATTCCATGTTTCAATGAGAAGACCAATCTCTGTGGTGTGTTCCAGCTACAGTAGCCTTCTGCGAGAGTAATGGTAGTGCTGGTAGTCATCCCACAACGAACCATTTCAAGCGACATAATAGCAGGTATCTTTCTTAACAATGGCGTATAGAGCGATTAGTCTCGAGGGACAATTTTCAGATATGGCGTGCCTGTGGATAGTTCAGCCATCAAATTAGTCTATCGCGTCCGATCCGAACGACTTAGTAATCGGTTAGTGGCGAAATTTTCCACAGTCAGATTCGACGTGAAGGCGCATGTAAAATTGGAACAATAAATTCCAGGGTGAAAATCACTGATCGAGCGCTGGTGTTGGCCATGTTAGGAATTGTGGTGATGGTAATCGACGCTGAAATCACTGGACAAAATCTTTTCGGCATTACTAAGGTACTTGCTTTTGTCGGAAATTACTTCTTCTCCAGAGAGCTTGCCAGGTTTTTTTTTCTGCGTTTAGCGCAGAGGGTATGGAGATAGCATAAGAAATACGTTAGAATGAGGTGCTGAAGCAATCCTTGCTAATAAAACCTCTCTCATCTCTTGAGGATCAATTTTGCAATTAGACTGCTGTTGGAAAATGAACCCTCTATCACTCACTTTGGCTAGTGCTGACGGATTAGAGTATTTATGCTTGCTACGCATTCATATGCTATGGAATTTTTCCGCTGAGTAATGCTAGGCTAAATATTCGACGCATCCCATAGGGACCAATTGCTCTTGACAGACTCACCAGTAGCCATAATAAAAGCAGCGCTTGTTTATAAAAGTATTTAAGTTTGCCCGAGCTAACAAATTCAAGGAATCGATAAGAAGTTGTTCCTACTGAAGGGTTTCCATTGTAAAGCTTCGTAAGGATTACTAAGTGAACCGGTCCGAGGAGGACCTCGTACTGGTCCAGCTTTTCTATAGCTTTTAGCAGTGACTTTGAACCAGGGTCGGTCCTATCGTTGCTACTTTTCGAAAAATTTTTACGACCCCCTCCCCTAAGGTGGATTCGATACGACCCCCTTGACCCCCCTTTTCCCTACCTCCACCTCCTCCATCTCTCCCACTTCCATCAGAACCCCGCCCACTTTTTCCTCCAAAAATCCCGTCGAGCGGGGGGGGGGGGTGTAATCACTCTGAAACAGTAAAAAATTTACCAAAATTCCCTCAACTTCCACCAATTTACCCCACTTCTACCTATAACCTCACTCATCTCATACAACTTCTTACACTCGAAACAAGTTTGACCCCCCCCTCTACAAACTCATTAAAATACGACCCCCCGTTGCTACTTGTAGCAACATAGGGTTGAACTGCTTTGAACCCTTCTGCGAGCCAACTAGGTGATGCTCATTGCGGTGCGCTACTCTTAACACACTCACGACGGCTAACATTTTCGGCTATTTTTCGGGTGAGACGAGCGTAATTTTGAGAGCACCGCCGCCAGACCTGACTTCTGTAGACTTTGTGTAGCAAATGAACAAGAACATGGGTGTCACAACGTCATTGTAGCAGTGGTCATTACGAGGGTCGTGGCGGGCGGTTGCGTCGAAGGCTTTGGGCGTAGGCCCAACTATGCTTCCGTCAATCCAGATCACGGTGGTAGTAGCAAATATTTGAAGTCAAGGTCCGGGCTCAGCTTCAGAAATATTAGCTCCCATGGATCAAGGTGTGTGATCCGCTGCGGCAGAGGTCGCGCCACCTCTGTACAACGAAACGCTTTACTATGACGCTAAGTGCCAAGGACTTCAAGCAGATCCCACCAAAACAATCAGGATCCGCCCATTGCTTAATCTGCGTCGCAATTTCGATCTACTATGCCTTTCAACTCGGAATTCTCTTACGCCCCCGCGATTCGGGAGACGGTCAATTCAATCGTCGGCTAATGAGGTCACGCCGCTCACGCGGCAGGCAGCGTCGCGCGCGGCAAATGGTGCGACGATTTTTGTATGGGCCTAGGCTTGATGGTCCTTGTCCATAACTTACTGGTGGGGTTAGAGAACGATAAGACCAAAGTTCCCGACATCATTGAACCAACAAGAGTCACCTTAAGATCTCCGCACTTATTTAAGCCTCACTGTACAGAGCTTGTGCGATGTAAAATTGTCCTTTAGAAAATAAAGAGACTTCTTCACTGATCAAATGCCTGAATTGTTACAACAGAGCGAAAATATGGCGAAATCGGAGAAATGTTATGTTCCAAGACGCAGTGGGACAGTGAGGAAGGCATAACATCAGTATGACAGAGTAGGTTTGTAATAATGGCAAAGGACAAGGATCCTGTACTTTAGGGGGGGGGGGGCAGGTGATCATATACCGTGTTTCACGACTGGGAACTTCGTCCAATCCTACACTCCCCAATGCTAGAACCCTGAATTCTAACACGGCCGACGTCGCATCGCGGGCTGCGGCGGCTCGCGCGGCGACCTAGCTATCGCCACGATTGAATAGTCACGCACCTCCGCGATTCACATTATCTCATTTCCGTGCCTGCTTCTTAGACTTCTCTGCAGCGTAGAGCAACAAAGCTTGTATTTTCTGTATTTTCACGATTTTCTTTCTACTTTTCTCCACTTGAATCCACCTCCTATCTGTTTGAGTGGAAATACCACATCAATTCGATCCTGTTCCTCGCCTTTAAGTTCAATCCTTGAAAACTGAAGTGGAGACTTGTTCCACGTGACAATAATTGAATGTGAGTTAGTCGATCCTATGATTGCCTTGTGTCACCGAGAGGGAAAAATCTTTTCCCTCACAAATACCATTAGGGACAGAAGTTTAGATGATCCAAGGGTACTATATATAGTTCAGTTTTGACAAAAAGACGTGAAGTGGTCATAGGTCGGTGCACCCAACACCCTAATGTCCCTGACATCCAGCGTGGAAACTGGTGTTCGTGGCGCGCTATCGTGGGGGATTATAACGCCTAGCATTTTCTTGTTTCTGCTGTTCTTATTTAATATGTCCCTTATGTCATTCTTACCTCCAAAAAAAGGGTGACTATTTCAGGCCCATCCCGTTTCACTGATGCTTCGTTCATTTGTCGCCTTATCAACTGTAGCGCTTCTAACACAAATCGTACTGTATCATATTAATGATATAGTGGTAAGTAGGCCATTGATGCGATCCTTCGAAATTTATCACTTGATCGATAGATGTATTCGGCGAAAATTGCAGCTAGACTTGGTCGACTGCGGTGCAGACGACTGGCGTGTAGTTGTTACAACTGATCGAGCTCTACAGTTTTGTACGGAATTTCTTCTGTGTGCCATTTGTCCACTTCCGGGTAAAGGATTTTTCGCTCTTCTGGAAGCCTGTGCATGAAATTTCAATCTCTCACCATCCATTTCTATTACTGCTCATTAAAGGTACTGGAACACTACATTGGTCGTTCATAGAAACCGCACGAAATATGCAGGCGAGTCATGGAAGGTCGTTTTACATGAAAGAGGTGTGTTTCGGCTGATTTCTCAAGATCTGTTCACGATTGTTATGTAAAAAACTAAAAGCGTGATGCAAGCGTAGGCGGCCTCTGATTCGTTGGGGCCCCCGGCGACCAACAGCGCGCGCTCTTTGAACGATTGTGCTTACAAACCATAATTGAATGGAGGCTCGAACAATTGCAGCCGCAAATCATTTTTCACATCACAATTTCGTCGAATTCCACAGTTTTTATGATTTATATGGCTGCACCACAGCGCGCCCATTTCGCTTCCAAGACGTTTATCTTAAAAGTCACTCCGTCGGAATGAGTGGATATTTCTCTCCTCCTAGGTACCTCTTGATGTGCCGTTGTCAATACTAATGCTTTCACGTGTCTATCTCTTCGCTCGATTCATGGTTCTACACAGCAAACAGTTTCAGGTGGGAAATTCAATCTAAAAGTTCAAAATAAATTTTCACAATTACATTTTCGTGAAAATTTCTTGTTTTATGGAATTTTCTTGTTGTTGTAGGACGCGTCCACGCGAACGTTAGCAGCGCTGAATCGCATCCAGGTGAACTTTTCGTTTGTTCTCAAAACAGTGCTGGATCAACAACCGATTCTCTTCCTCACTGCGTTCACAATCGTCTTTTGGATAGTTACTTCATGGACCTTCGTGCAATGTGAAAGGTGAACGACCTGTTCCTGCTTTCAAACTGTCCTTCGAGTGATGCTCCGTCTATGAGCATAATTCACTATACTCAGCAGTAAGAGTGATTTTCAGGTTCGGGCAGGCTGATCAGGATGTACCATCGATCCTTTACTCCAATGCTTTATGGTTCATAGGTGAGCAATCTTATTTCACTACACAATTCTAGTTTTGGTTCCAAATCAAGGGTTGCGTATGAACACTATGCTACCGGTCGAATCCAAATTCAGCATTTTATTGCGCCCATTTACTCTATCCAATGGCTATATGGTGGGACAAAAATAGTACTGCGTTGGGAATTGAATGAATCTCTGAAGGTATGGTGAAGAGGTAAGCAAACCAGCCCTTTTGGCGTTTCGGCTGGGATCGTATGCTGAGTGTTGGGTAACGGGATGGGGATGGGGACCCCAGCGGTCGACGGTTTACTTCAACTCGGTTGGTACGATAGGAGAGTACTGACGCAAGTGGTGCAGCTGGTCCAGCAGCTCCGCCAGAAGGTCTGGTTTGCTCACCCCAGGACTAAGCCTTGTAGAGGGGACGGACCCGTCCTCTCTTAAGGCTTAGTTCTGAATTAAGCACTCAATTGTGTTGGTTCCAAGGACCGAGTTGAAGTGGTTCTACCGTCGGAGACTCCATGCCCTCCCCAACATTCAGCACACGGTCCCAGCCGAAGCGCCAAAAGGGCTGGTTTGCTTACGTCTATGGTGAATGCCGAACTTGCAATCACTCACCCACTCTACTTTAGATGAAGGCTGAGGGCGCAGCGCATTCCAACTTTACACCCTTTCCTTATTTTCTTCCATCACATATATCCTTTCTCTTTATTTTCCATCATCATTCCCATTTTGTTCATCTTTAGCTATTACATTCATGTTAAATGGCTATGGTGACATCGTGCCACAGACACACGCTGGAAGAATTATTGCGATTTTCGTCGGAGTAATTGTGAGTTCAATATTAGGTTTTGTTGTGATATGGTCCAATATTGATAATATATTCATTGTTGATTCTCTGTTCCTTTAGGGTGCTATCATTTCATCGATTCTTATCGCTGTTATTTCACGAAATATACTACTATCACAAGGCCAACGTAATGTGAACAATTTCATGCATGACAGCAAATTGACAAGAGAGCACAAGAATGCCGCAGCAAAGGTTATTAGTATTCTATAGTCTTCAGTACTATGGTACTGTAGTACTTTTCTTGGTCTTGTTCTCCGCGGTCCATTATTCCTCGCGTTTTGTGTCCGGTAAGTGTAGAATAAGCTGAGATTTCGTATCGGGAAGTGGCACTCACACCACTTGCACAGTCCGCCGAGCCAACCAAGCCTTAAACCTCTGGACTCAGACATTCAGTACCAGGCTTATCTGGGAGAATGAGCACGCTGACCATGACCAGCTTCCAATTATTTGCTGTATTGGCCTTAACCCGTATTGATGCCCCCGTCGTTCAATAGTGGACAAGATAGAATACGTGGCACATCCCGAAAAGAGACCTAACACTCAAAGTTTCATCATCTCAAAGTGTAGAACGGCCATTTGCACACTTGAATGGCGCTCAATTTTCGTTATCTGTTTTCGAGTCCTGATGGTTGGCCATAGAACCTCGTTGATCACGATGGGGCCAAGATAGAATACGTGGCACAACCCAAAAAGGGACACTTAACACTCATCGGTGTGAGTACTTTTTCTCAGCGCTTGCTCCCAAAAGCCAGCAAATTTGAAGCGTTGTTATTTGTACAGTTCAGCGGCACAGTACAGTTTCGCGTGTTTGCAAGATGAGCAGCAACCGCGCTTTTCGATCTGTGGCTACAACCACCTGCCCCTTATGGGCAGACGAGATCCTGTCATTTCTCGCTACCGTCTCTCTTGTTTGGATAGCCGTGTGGACGACCAGGATGAGCCGTTGTTGGGCCGAGCGAACCTGCCATCCTCGTATGCGAATGTTCATCAGCGCTAAGCTCGCATGCTCAGGCCTGGAGCTGGGAGGTATCCTTTGCTAGAGCGCGTTCAGCTTGCAGCGATGTCGAGAATAATGTGCTCGACAGGACAAACACCACCTGTATAGACAGTACAGGTATAGGTAACTTGGCCTCGCTGTCACTCGCATGAACACTCCATGGCGTTGAATTGTTCGCTGAACGCAGCGATAGCGTTGTTGCTCCAGAAAGTATCAAAGTTGACGATGTTGAGACGCCTGGAACGAGGGCAACGTAACTTTAAACGGAGAAGATGGCCAAAGTTCGGAATTACACCTATGTTTTTTTGGTGGTTGTGGTGGTGGGCTCTCGTGGCGTCTATGCTGGTAAGCATAGTGGATTTATGCTCGGACGCTTCGTTAGAACAGAACTTTTATTTTGAAGTCGGATTCTATGATGATAAGATAGAGCTCATTAGAAATAAGGGTGCGGGTGCTCAAAGCTGCTGGGGTGAAAAACCCTTAGAACAGCCCAGAACCCAAGCAATGGTAAGTTGCCCTATTTGATAGTAGCGCTCTCTGTGCTGAAAAGCTGAGGGGTCAAACTGCGAGAGGGAGGCGTGCTGTGCAGATAGCGCGCCGAGATCGCCGCGGCGAGGGGCATGCTAGAGCGACTTGAGCATATCTTTCTTTCCGAATTGCGTGTCGGTCCGCACCCTTGGGCAGGCCCCCTGTCTTTCCATTAGTTAAGCTTCCCCGACCTTCAACCTTATGACGGAACTCTCCCTTGGTCGGGTTGATGAGTTAGCTTCCACAGAACATGAGCCATAACCCAAATAAATATCCTATTGATTACATGTCTTTACCCTAAGTGATTGGCACGTATCAAATAACAAGTATTCAGTATTTGCAACAAACATGGCGCATTCATAAATGCTTCGATGCGGACTGACAGACGGACTCCGCACATATCAACGGAGTTTCTTCGTGCCATTCATGAGTAGTGACCAATAGCACAATTTTCAGTGGTATATTCACCATATAATTTTTTATTTAGGTTCCGTGCTATCAAGAACGAGCATGCGCGTGTTTTGCTGAAATAATTCAGCAATAGCCAGCAAGTGACTCGAGTAGGTTTTGTGGGCTTGGTGGACAGTGAGTAGAATGCAGTGCTAAATTTTTGATCTTAAGTTGGTGGCGGAAAATGCACTTCTCTATGCAGCGCTTAGTATCAGCGCAGGAAGAGATGAGGGCCAAATCGAAGTACTGCAGCGAGCTGTTCGTAATCACTACACGAAACTACCACAAGCGTTAGTTCTTATTCGTTTTAGCGGTTTCAGAAATAATCACTGAAATGTTTGATCAATAATTAAAAAGGCATTCATTTGCCCAGAGCGCAGATGACTGCTTCTTTCTTTTTTACATGTCATGGTAGCAGCTACCCAACCTCTCCAAGCACTTCACTCGTGCAAAGGCTAAGGCAGCGCGTAGGGCGTCCCTTTGATGATGTGGCGTCATTGAGCGATCATATTTGTTCTAGTTGCGAACGCCTTCAATAACGAACATGATGAGTATCAAAGGAACGGAAAAGGCTCCGCCTTCATTACCTCGGAAAACGATACCTTAAAAGAGCCTTACACGAAAAGAGTGATCATTTTGTCTTATGTGTAGGATTAGTATTACCGAAACTAAAGTTTATGTTAAGTTTTTTTTGCTATGCTCATGGCTAGGGGCCTAAAGGCTACGGTTTTCTAGGGTAATGGAGGCGGAGCTTTTTCCGCGGGAGTCCTTTCCTTCAAGTCTTTCTTCGACAATGGATCCTGTAGCGAACGGGGTATGTATAGAATGCCAAATCTAGAAACTTGATAGGAAATGAAAGCAGCGTTGTGAAGTGGATATCCAGTCAAGAAAAAATGGAGAGAAAGCTTCGAAAGTGAAGGTACCCCTTCTTGGGCGATGAACAACTTTATTAGACTGCGGTTGGTGAACAGTCTGAATGGTACTAGGCGCTAAGTCGAGAGAACCGACCTTCAGATGATAGAGCATGGGGAACGAGCGGCACGTAGACACCACATCGTGTAGACCGTTGCAGTGCGAACAACAGTAGCACTCAGCAAGCCAGGTGGCGCCTTAACGCCCTTAATGGGCAATTCCTAGACGCAGAACTGACACGTAATTACATTAGGTGATTGAGCCATCATGGTGAAGAGTTGCCACCGCCTGGATTCCTTGCCTTTAGAGTGTGCCTTTAGTAGCAGTTGCTACACGATCTCTGCCGCGAACAGCACCGCGAAACGTGACGTATTGTGAACTGAAGTCAAGCCTCGGGTTAAAGTAGGTGTGGAAGAACGTTTACTAATGAAGCTAGAGGTGGGAGCAGTCTGGAAAAGAAAATGAAAGCAAGCGAAACCCTCGATTACCCCCGAATAAGAACTTCCTCTATTTCAGCCGCAATCCACCATTGGGATAGAGAAGGGGGGGGGGTCGAACGAGTTTTCCAAACCTAGCTCCAGTTGCTCTAGTGCCAATGAGATTGAAGTGTAATGTGAGCGATGCCGCAACTGCGCCCGCGCTTCTCCTGCAGCGTCACGTGGGAACCGGCAGCGGAAGGCGGAGCTTGCTTGCAAAGGAGTAGATTGCGGGTCGAATGAGCTTACAGCACCTGTGTCGCGCGCTTTCAATTCGTGGGCGCGGCATCACCAGTTCAAAGAGTAAGTGTACTGATACATGCCGGCGTTAAATGCACATCGCGCGATAACGAAAGCGAGGTAAATTGATAGTCAAGTGTGAACGTAGTTGAGTCAAGAAAAAATGGTAGAGAAAGCTTTTCGAAAGTGAAGGTCCCTTCTTGAGCGAGAACAACGTTTATAGACTGCGGTTGGGTGAACAGTCTGAATGGGTACTAGGCGCTAAGTCGAGAGAACGACTCTTCAGATGAAGAGCATGGGTGAACGAGCGGCACGTAGACAACTCACATCGTGGAGACCGTTGCATGGCTTGCAACACAGTAGCACTCAGCAAGCCAGGTGGGCGCCTTAACGCCCTTTAATGGGCAATGTCCTAGACGACAGAAACTGACCGTAATTACATTAGGTGATTGAGCCATCATGGTGAAGAGTTGCCACCGCCTGGATCCTTGCCTTTAGAGTGTGCCTTTAGTAGCAGTTGCTACACGATCTCTGCCGCGAACAGCACCGCGAAACGTGACGTATTGTGAACTAAAGTCAAGCCTCGGGTTAAAGTAGGTGTGGAAGAACGTTTACTAATGAAGCTAGAGGTGGGAGCAGTCTGGAAAAGAAAATGAAAGCAAGCGAAACCCTCGATTACCCCCGAATAAGAACTTCCTCTATTTCAGCCGCAATCCACCATTGGGATAGAGAAGGGGGGGGGGGTCGAACGAGTTTTCCAAACCTAGCTCCAGTTGCTCTAGTGCCAATGGGATTGAAGTGTAATGTGAGCGATGCCGCAACTGCGCCCGCGCTTCTCCTGCAGCGTCACGTGGGAACCGGCAGCGGAAGGCGGAGCTTGCTTGCAAAGGAGTAGATTGCGGGTCGAATGAGCTTACAGCACCTGTGTGCGTGCCTTCAATTCGTGGGCGCGACATCACCAGTTCAAAGTTGAAAGCCGGCGCTAAATGCACATCGCGCGATAACGAAAGTGAGGTAAATTGATAGTCAAGTGTGAAGGTGCTGACTAGCCAGTGAACAAGAAAGTAAGAAAACGGTTACAAATAATCTATTCAGAAGCCTCTTTCTGCCTATTTGCGAGGCGGACAACAACATTCGGACAGTCCAAAAGACACTGGGCGCCAAGGCAAGAGTACAGACGAGCGAGAAGAGCTGTGAGCGTACACTGGAAGTCCTAGACCCCTGGCGCCCTTGCCACGCATTTTGACGAGGTTATAAGTTTGGGAACAGAGAATGCATACCGTAACCCACACTAGCGTCACGGCGTGGTCGCAGTCCTCCGGCAAGGGATGCCATTGTTAGGTTGCGAGCGAATACAACGACGCCACACCGGCGTGCAGCGTTGCAAAAATGGAGCAGCCTCGCAGCGTTTGCTTCAGCGCGCGTTCCGCACGCGGGCAGGGGAGGTGTTCCCCCACGTGCCGCCTCATCCTACGTGAGGCCAAACCGTCGTGCGTGCTATCCTCCGCGTTGTTCAACTGCGCTTAGTATAGCTGGCGAGTTTGCTCGACGCATTATCTTCTCGCATTTTGCATAGGAGCGCGTTACTTTTGTGATTACGGGGCAATAACCCTATTTTAAGACAGCAAAAGTAATTCTGGATTGCGGTTCAAGTGTAACACTTGTGGTAAATGAAAGATGAAGTTTAAGAGAGCACCGCAACTTTAAGTCGCTATAGTCTAAGTTCTGAAAGTACTTTTGGCAATAGCCTCACCTTGGTTCTATTCTGCTCTTCACGCCATTGTGAATTAGAAGACAGCTTATAAGTGATAAACTATAGAAATGAGTTTTCGTTTTCTGTTTCTGTCACTATCTTTCGTAGGCTTCGTTACTCGATAGCATTTTTTCGGTCTAGCATAGATCTCAATAACGCTTTTCCAGTCAAAGCGCATTCGGTGCTTTGTGTCATCACGCATTTTGTGTTTCCTTCCTTTCTGTTGCTCGTTTCTTTTTTTCACTGTCATGCTGCTTTTTATATCTTTTAATTCTTGTGCGGTTCTTCTCTCATCTACGTGTCGTTTTTCGTGTTCAGCAACGTACTTTGGGAAGAAGCGACCGAGTCGATAGAGTTGCTCTGATCAAGCAAGGTAACGAACTGCTCGAAATACGCCCACAAACCCCTAGAACAAACAACTTCTTTTTTTTGCAAAAATCTTCCTTTACATCAGGGGTGTGTACGCTGATTTCGAGAAATATAGTAGCAACTCATGTGTTCGCTAACAGACTGTTTTTAGTTGTTGTGTAGTTGTGCTGTAAAGGAAATGAAGGATGCTGCATGTTTAAAGAACAGTGTTACGTCCTTGAGTTAGTTGTGCGAACGCGAGCGGTCACGGTGCGCTGTGCAATAGCGCACTATTAGAGAGGTTACGAAGTCCGGTGAGTGACCGCAACTGTAACACGTGACTGGTTGGCGCGCGATGCCACAAGTCAGCGATTTGGATTCGACGTGCCCTTTTGTCGTTTTTCCGCGCACTCTACGGCGACAAAATTGACGTTATAGGACCTGGCTCGGTGCTAACTTAGTTGGGGGGGGGGACCACGCGGCGGCGCGTCTGCTCCTCTAGGGCTTAGTCCAAGGGACAATTAATGTTCGTCGCCCGTGGCAGTTTCGAAATAGGCGCAACTGGCGGACTAAGCCTTGGAGGAGCAGACGAACAGAGCGCCGCGCTGCCGCGTGCCCCTCCCCCAACTATAGCACCCCTGGCTCTCGAACGGAGCGTACGTGCTGGTATATGGGAGGGGTGCGGCAGTTGGTCGAACTTGCCGGCAAGTGGTTTGGTGGCACCCCGGGGCTACCCTCCTCTGCGAGGCGAGCGCTGCGTGTATACTTGAATAGTCGCCCATGGACGGCTGTGGTGGATGGGGGTATTGTGCACTCGCCATGCGAGGCATTATACCCTCTCACGTTGGTGCTGAAACGTGTGGGTACACAGCAGTAGTGTAGCTGCGCGCCCCAGTGCCAACATGGATCGGTAGCGGTCACTCATCGGACTGTTAAAAGCGGCTTGTGCAAGCACTCGCTCTTGGTCGCTTTCCGCACAACCCTCTTGCCACAGTTACGTTTTACTGATTGTTGTGTAATTTATATCAATTTGTACCTGCAAGTAGAAGAGGCTTAGGCCCTCTATGAGTAAAAGTGTTGGCAGTTTTTCAATATGAATTGTTTTTTTTTCAGTCCGCTGGATACTCCTTAAGCGGCTGACGTGCAAAACTATCAAAAGCTACGAAGGACATCGTCAAGAACTGGTTTTATTAGTTTTATTGTGTAATTTATTTCAAGCCGAATTTTCTCCTCATTGGCGAGCGTACGTTTTAACAAGTGACTTTGATTCGTTTTCTTCCAAGTTGTCTCTTGTTTTATGGAATTGTCTTCGTATTACAGCTCAAATCTCGTTTGTCATATGGAATAATTGAAACGTTTCATAAGCTCTGATACAGTCTCATACATAGTGCAATCACATCTATTGATCTAATCGAACGGGTTTCGTACTCCATGATCTGAACGTTTTGTCCCAAGTCGTACGTTGCATGTGATAAAGATGACCTTTTTGAAGAATTCTTCATTTTTATGAAATAATTCATCAGAGATTCGGGTAATATTGAGGAAGTTACGGGGTACCC